ACCATCGATGCCTTTTTTCTTTCCGCCCGCTCCCCCGAAGTCCCCTTGGAACCCGACCTCGATCGAAGGGCGCGCGGGTAGTTCCAGGGTGCAAGCCAGTAATGGTCAGGACCGGCCGGAGGAAGAAAAAAAAATAAATAAATAAAAAATCTGCGATTTTTCCCCTCGGCACGTCACCCCCCCACATAGGCGAGGTCCCAGTCTGGAGAAATAGGTCTCGGACTTCGACCTGTTTGTCTTGATTGGGAGCGAGAAGTCATCTCACCGACGGGGCGTAGTCGTGGACGGTGTAGTGCCGAGTTGGTGGAGGTCCGCGGTCCAAATGTGACTGGGATGATGTTGAGAGGGTACTTCTTAGTCGGCGGATGGTGAACGCGCTTCAAAAGAGGCGGAGGCACGGGTAAAATTTGCTTCCATTTTACCCATGTAGGCAATGGCCGCCTTTTTTGCCTGACGGATTTCAGCGTTTCCCTCGGGATTGGGGATCGCGTCAATCCGCATCATGCCCTGGGTGATGTTCTCCTCCAGTTCGTCTGCCTTCAGTCCGGTCCACTTGGCGGCTCCAGCCTGCACATGGCGTATTTGCGTCAACGCCGCTGACACTGCGGTTGTCGCGTCTGGTGGCTCCGCCGCCCACATTACCTCTGTAGGCGTCGTTTGTGGGGGATCGGGGCTTGCCGCCCGTGGCTCGGGCGTGGTTATGGGGAGCTCGTCCAGCGTAGGGTCAGCCTCTGGCGACGGTGGGCTGGCACCTGACGACGCGATGCGCGCCAAATCGTCCGGAAATTCGTCCTGTAGATCACTCTCGGAATCTGAAGCAAAATCAAAGTCCTCCTGCTCTAGGTCGACATTATTGCCCGATGGGGCTGGCCTCAGATCATGGAGGTGTCGGTTAAATGGTTTTCCGTCGATTAGCACGTCGTAGGTGCTGTCACCATTGACCGCCACGATTTCGCCGGGGCCTTTCCACATAGGTGCGAAGGCTTCTTGGGTATGGGTCCGGATATTCACCTGGTCGCCT